TATAATACAATTTTTGGAGTTGCACAGTAATATGTTCTTAAAATGTACTGTCTCCTATGTGTTAATTTTTTCGTTATACCAATGTTGATCCATGCAAAGTATTGCATCCATATTTGTGGCATTAAGTTTCATTAACTGACAGCCTAGAAATTATCCCAATTTCATTGCTAGCAATATTCATTCCTTTACTTTCCATGGGGGGGGGGGAGAAAAAAAACATAGTTTACAGTAGCATAAGCTATGTTTCAACTATATTGCATACTATGAGAAATTACTAACCCGTGACTAGACTAAGAAAAAGCTCCTTAAATGCTTATGATTTATTAGTATCCTGCCTTCTTTCTGAAATGTAACACTAAGAGCACACAATAAAAGTTTGAAGAAAGAGAAATCAAAATATCCTTCTGATTACTCAGGAATTAATTTTAGTTATCAACAACCGCTCAAAACTTTAAGCCAAGAGGCGTAATCCAGAAAAATGTACTAAAGATGCAGTTTGATTTGTGCAGGAATTTATACTATAATATACCCTTACACTACACTAGTTATGACTGCTCTATGACATACTGAAATGCTTATCTTTGATACAGATTTCAGTATTGAAAACAATTCTAATACAAACCATACTAAATAAATGGGATTAGAAAGACCTGTGCACGTGAGAAAAACCACTTAGTATGCTATTAGGCTGATAGAAGAAAATCCCCTCTTCTATTCCCAACTATTTTCTTTATCCTGGGAGGAAAAAATTAAAAATTAAAACTGAAAGTAATCAGTAATTGAAATAACTGGAACTAATTGAAAGCTGTGAGATCTAAAAAAAAGTCTAGTGCAGGACTTGAAGGAAAATTAGGTTCAGAATAAATTAAACCCGCCTCAAAGTTAATTTATCCAAATTTTAGTTGCCAAATAAGGTTGCTGAGACTGCAAACATCAAGGGAAGTGCACCAGTCTCTCTTCAAAACATAACTCACACTTATCAGTACTGAAGACTCTGTTATTCATCCTATGTTGATCCGAGGCTGACGCAAGGCTATCTTTCTGAAGACACTTAACAGTATTCAAACTCAGCACTACCAAGTGCCCTCAGTGTGCATTAAACCTCCCATTTGGAGCCAACAAGATTCCTCATGGATAGTTATGAATAAAATACAGTTACTAAATCAATAGGCATTAGGTTTATGTACCCCATTTCCTACAAGGAAAGCCTCCAAACAATCCCTTCCTTCCCTGGAAGCTACACCCAAATTATTAGAAATTAGAAATACTTTGATCCATACAGAATTTAATCTCAATTAATCCTATAATTAAGTTGCTATTGAGTTTTTCCTGTTCTCCTCCTCAAAATGGCAGTATAGACCTTAAATGCCACAAGTATCTAAAAAAATTTTTTTTCATGTCTGTAACCTTAGTAAGATTTTCTCAAGAAAGCCAGTGGTACCTTTTTTTGTTTGTTTATTTGTTTCTTCTAAGGTGGATTTGATCTTTCAGTCATGTTTTCTCAAGGCTTTGTTTCCATATAGGATTATACTAGTCTTGTCACCAAAAAAAACACCTTTATCCACAGAGAATCAGCAAAAACCACAGCAAGAAATTTCAAAATATGACTCAAATTTCTGTAAACATGTTATTAAAACATCCAAATACGATTCTCTTCTGAAAGCAATTGCAGTCACTAATTTTATACCTGAGAGGTGCTGAAGTATCATTCTTCCTCTGAAGATGTTTTAATACACATATGATCAGTCTTCCTGCTAGAATCTTGGTTTGAATTCATTTATGATCTCTAACATGTCATCTGTGCCCAGATTTTGTTCAAATCTATTTGAGCACAGAGTTGACATAACTACATGAAAAGTGGGAACAAAAATCTGTATAAGGAATCCTGCTTCAGGTTGATTCAGAGGCAGTATCAGATATCCATAAAAGCCTCAAGGGATTTAAAGCAGCAGTAATTCCCTCATAAACGGACTGTGTAAGAGCGTCTCTGACTATACTTATCTTTATAGATGATAAGACACTTAAGCACTTAAAGAACTATCAACAGCTTGTCTCTACCAACATCTAACACACATTGCTTTCCCACTGCACAGAATCTTCACAGCAAAAACATCTCACTTTAAACGAGACAGCTGGGCCTATTGCAGCATTTTAACCTTCAACTTTAACACACAAACCAACTGCTGCAAGAGCACTCTTGTCAACAGATCGTACATCTAATATTTAGGCAAGGTTATTTGTAAGCAAATAGAAGTGGATTTGGCTTCCTCTGCGTCTAAAAACTGAAAATTATGCATTAACTTCTGATAGAATTATTTGCAAGTTATTAGGCTAAGCTGCATTAGGAAGAATGTTAACTGATTTGCTACTGCTTTGAAGTCTGATAAATAAATCGAAACATTATGCAACACAAGCTGAACGTTTTAGTTTAGCTGCAGTTTAAACACATGAACTGGAACATTAAGTTTGTGTTAGTACTTGCATTAGGAGATCTGTTGCTTAGTTTTTAAAATTTCAAGTGCATTCCACCCCTTGACATTAATGAAGAAAATATACTGGAGCTAGGACAGGACATTTTGACCAACCAGTGGTTATGGAGATTCCTAAAACAATTTTTAAATCTGAATTAAAGAAAACACCAAGAAGGTTCATTATTTCAGCAACTAAAGGATTTAAAGAATTCAGCGAAGTCTGACTTCCATCTAGTGTCAGCTAGTCTGAAAAATAGTCACATCCTTAAAATTCTGAATGGACCAGATGCACCATCAGTTGACATCAATTAAGAGGAGCTTCAGACTTCCAAGTAAATGTTTAAGCAAATGTACTTCACTCCCCAAGGCTCTGCTCCACATCTTCAGTATGGAGCAACCTCAGCCACTGTGCCAAACACAACTACTCCGAGATCATAAATGGGGAGTTAGATCACAGCTCTGATCTGCCTGAAAAGAAAGTCAACACCACACAAAAACAAACTCAAAAAACCCCTGACCAGTACAGAATATCAGCCGGCCTTTTAAGCCAGAAACTGATCCACCAGATAAGGGTATAAAATGCTGTATTACCTTCCCCTGCCTCTGCTCTGACATCAGCTGCTGTTCTGATGCATTACTCCTCAAAATTATGGTCAAAGTAACTTCCCAGCAAAGTAACAAGATTTTATTTTGTTTGTCATGCTGGGATGTTTTTCCTTTTCAAAGTCTTAAAGAAGCATAAACATTCATATGGTTATATACCGCTGAAGTGTTCATTGCTCCAACCATTAATTGCTCCCTCAGACTTCAGCGAGTTCTCATGCAAACTGCTTCGTGGCTTATCCCCTCTAATAAGAGGTATTCTGAGGACCTTTTCCCCTTGACACTTCCTGGAGTACTGCAGTTACAGTACAAAGTATCAAAAACTTGCTCTGGTACACCCTGTGTTGGAAACACATAAAATTTTCCCCTACTACAGTACGGTGTAAATTACAATGATTCAAGTGCAGCTGCAAAACAGTCGAAAATAGTTTTTTTTAAGCGATTAAAAAAATTGACTTCCAATGTGCTACTCAACTATACAACACCAAAAACATTAAAGCATACTAATAGCTACCTAGCGGCACTTCCCTTCAACAGAATAATTTTTTTGCACCGAACTGAAAAGCGAGATTTACTATTCGACACCAAGTACAAAAATCAGTTCTCAAATGAAAAGTAGCTGAAAATGTATTTTCAACTTCTACTCAATATTTTAAGTCATGAGAATGAAACAAATAAAAAAAAACCTGTTAGCATTACCACACTTTTTCTGACCGCTAACACCCACTAAAATAACTGCAGCAACCAAAAAAGCTGCAGCTTCTAGTGTTGGGCTCAGAGAACACGTTTAAGTAACACAACTCCACTTTACTCGAACTGTCTTCTTGTTCTCAGACACACAGTTAGCCTGCAAAGTACACCTTCTTAGTGGAAGCAAGAATCACACACCGGCAGGGCAGCTCTACTAATGAAGTCAGATATTATTCCTCTTTAAAGCTGTCACGGCTGTTTTGCTCGTTCAAGCATAAATTGTCTCAAAAATCTAAGCTCTTCTATTGAAAAGCTACCTCCACTTCTGTTAAACATTTCCAAGAGAAAACAACCAAAATAAACACAAATCCAGACATTACTTTAACTGCATTGTACAAGGTTATACAGGATATTTTCTAAAGTCAAAAGAAGAAACGTAACATTGCCCAACTTTCAGCAACCCCACTCTTTGTCTTAGCAAAAGCCTATAATTCATATTATAAAATTTACACCTCTCATCTGTTTCAGGATTCAAACAGTAGTTCCAATGTCCCTCACAGACACAGATCCTCCTGCTACCCACCCACAGATGTAACTTGTGTGGTACTTCTGAACTAACCAACTGTACGAGGTTAAAAACACCAGCAGTTTTACGGTTCCTACTTGTTTCCTTAGCACTGGGCTATTAAAATGCAATCAACTGTCAGAATCAACAGAAGAGTTTTACACTATGCATTATGCTTAAAATCAATACAGAAAAATTCACATAGCCCGAATGAAAAGTTGTGAGTTATGTTTCAATAAAGACAAGAGTGAGGGCGTTTCATTATTTCACAGCTTTCCTGGCAAGGTGTTTCCCCCACCTCTCCCTCTGCTCCCACCCCCCAGCATTCCATATAAGCAGTCAAATAAAAACCATCGGTTTCCATGGCAGATTCCTGCTGTGCTTCAACCAGCCTGGGCTGTCAGGACGGCCTGATAATTAAGGTTACCACAGGTCTACTCTGTCAGCCATGGAATATATACCAGATGAGCATCTAATAATACATCTAATTAACAAGATACCTGCATCAGTATGCATTCTCAAAAAAAGGAGAACACTTTATGGTTCCAAACAGCAATTAAATGTAACAATTCAAATGTACTTGCTTTTGAAACGAAGTCTACACAAATTCAAATCACTGTAAACATCCCATTTCTGACTCGGCATTGTTCACTATGCTCAGAGTAAAAAAGTTTAAGAATGACTTACAAAGAGGCTACTAACCTAGAAAAGTAAAACATCCATTTCAGGTCTAGCCTTCTTTTCACACCCAGAGCGCTCATGAAACACCAGTGACTTTTTCCTGTCGTTTAAAGCATGCAAACTTCATTTTCGTAATTAGGACATTCCAAGTGCTCTCCTAAAATCAAGTTTTTCTCAGTTGTTGGTGGTTGGTTTGGGGATTTTTTTTCATACTCTAGTATTAACCGACATAGCTTCATTTTTTTTTCTTCTAAGCAATATGAAAGCATCGCTTGCCACTCCCTAATCAGAACTTGGTTAGTTGTTTCTAGCCATAAGAAGAGATTTTTAGATGACACTAGTTTTTTGGAAAATACTGTACTCAATTTCAGATGAAGAAAATGCAACTCTATTTCAACCTTAAGGAGCAAGTAGCACTAAACGAAAATTATCAATTCACAAAGGTCTTTTCCAATTTAGGTGTAAGTCAGCAGCTCTTGTACAGAACCAAGTCTACTACGGCTGCCCTTACTTAAAAATATATCTGATGACAGACATTTTAATAATCAATTATTAGTAAGCAACTGTGACAGACATTTTAATAATCAATTATCAGTAAGCAACTGTGAACAAACCGCTTGCAAAACTTGAGCTTAAAATAACTGCTTTACTAACTTAAAACTCATACCAGTCGAAAAAAAAATACCCCTTTGAAGTTACACACCAGGAGACTATAAATGCTGCAGATAAAGCTCCAAAAATAACATTTTGACAAAAGAACTCAGGGGCACACGAGTCATCTGCCTACCCCTCAGGGCACACTCTTTCCCCTCTCTCTCTGCCTCTCTCACGCCGATGCTTAACGCTTAATAACACACTTCTTCCTCAGGGATATATGGAAGACCCACCTCTTCCTCTGTGACCCTCAAAGCCCCTCAGGACACCACATATTTCACCCCCAGATTTCAGTCTGTCCCTCACACTTTAGCTCAGATTTTGCCTCGGAACATCCCCACGCTGCGCTTTCCAAGTTCCCTCGGCTTTAGCTCTGAAACTCTCTGTCCTCTCCGAGTTACATCAAGAAGGAGTTAAAAAAAAATTTTCCCTCAGTGACTTCACCGAGAAGAGAGAAAGAGAAAGGAAAAAAAAAGGGGGGGAAACCAGTAAATAGCGCTCACTATTGTTCTTGGTCCCTAACAGTCTACATAAAGCAGCTCACAGGAACCTGGGTGTGCTGGAGCTGCTGGCAGTGCCAGTTGTGGAAGCATGGAGAAGGCAAGGCTGTGTATGGATTGGCGTATTGTACACCCCAGAGGAAGGCCAGGGAGGCAGATATGTCAGAAAGCATCCGCAGCGACACTTCACACTGCTTTGACTGCAGCCTGTAGCAGAAGAAAGCTGCCAAATGTTTGAAAACGGTGCTGGAAACACGAAAGCTTAGAACAGGTAATCTTGGTTTAACTTTCAAAGGGTAGATTACTCTGCCCTTCCTGGTTTAAAAGCGTTTGGAAAAAAAAAAAAAAAAAACTTGAATTGATGGAGTTCACACTTCCAGTACATGTTTCCATTTACTGCTGCTGGGTGAATTTTCAGGGATGGCATAATCCTGGATGCTGATGTCATCGAGCTGAGGCTACTGTTTGACTGAGCTGTTTCCTGCGTCCAAACAGAACAGAGATCTCCACGTACAAGCATCTTGCAGGTTTTATCTTTGTCATTCTCTAGCTTCTGTTTTAGTATACTGTATGACAAATCTTACATTATTACCTTCTGATCTCCATTACATCTTTCTCCTGTGAATATCTAATCTTAATGGATGAATCTAGCATACTGAAGGATGACTGTTGGTTAACTACTGATTTAATTATAGTGGAAATGCAGGATTGCAAATACCAACCATTACACTTCCTGTCTAGCTGAATCTCTGTTACTGCCATTATTTGCAACCTTGGTACAGCTTGCTTTTTTTTTTTTTTTTTTTTTTTTTTTTTTTTTTTTTTTTTTTTTTTTTTTTTTTTTTTTTTTTTTTTTTTTTTTTTTTTTTTTTTTTTTTTTTTTAATCTCTGAAGGAACTAATATATCTAGGCTATTCTAATTAGTAGCTTTCTATTTCAGTCATAAAAAGCTTTAAATTTTGTCCCTATTAGCAGCAGAATAAGGGAGAGGCTCTACTGATAAAGAAAGCACAACAGTTGAAGCCTGACTCAAAACTACCATTGTTGTGGTTTGGTTGAATCTCCAAGCCTGTCTGCAAGAAGAATGGAAGTGTTAAAGTAAAATAAGGGAATGTTTTTTTAATCGTTTCCACAGGGATACCTGGGGTGGAATAACTTAAAGCAGTTTGGCACATGGGACTGAAAACCTGAGAAGCCAGATTTAGTGCAAATACACAGTAGAAAGGAAAGCTTCTGGGTTTCTCAGCTTCTGAAACGCACAAAATCAAATATCTGGTAACCTAAGCATCAATTCTCAATTTCATGTGGCTTGTCAGACTAAAGTGTGTGGATTCACACAAGGAGAACCTTGGACATACTGGACGACTGCGAAACTCCAACTTCAGTATCATTTAGGAAGCATTACTAATCTGTTGATGTTTACCTTGATAATACCTTTGCAGAAACCCACTATAGAATAACACGGTTTATAATACGTTCCAATAATTTTCTAAAATGTGGGAAACTATTTCATTGAAAGAGAAACCTCCTCAGCTTGTTTCAAGAGACAATTCAAAGTCTGTCAGTCTAAAGGATCCTGGCAGTCTGGGCCTCTTCTGGTTGTCCTCTTGGGGCTTTCCAGATGCTTGGTTTGCATAAGGGCAGTTGTAAGGTATGAAATGAAAGGTGCAGATACTCTAATATTCCTGCCTCTGAGATGATGAATTAAGCAGTAATTCAGGCAATGCATGCCTAAAAGAAAGGGTGTAAGAACACGATAAACTCCATTTGAAACGGAGGGATTTTCTGACTTCAAAGAGTCAGAAATACAGCCACAGGTGATGGTTGAACGCATTAGTAATTAGCAATCCTTGCTAGATTTTTCTTCCACTGTCTAGTTTCCCCTGGCACCTACATAAACATTTAGACTCTTCTGCCAGGTAATTTCACTGGATAAGCACTCCTTTAGTGGGAAAAAAATCCCCTTTGTTCTGAACTTGTTTCCTGCTAGCTTCAACTATTTTCCACGCTTTCCCTGCTGGTTACACTTTCATAATCTCTGCTATATCCCTTAAGTCGACTCCTTTCAGAATGAGTCCTAATTTACTTAGTTGTTCATTTTCAGATGTCTTGTAAAATTTTTTTCTCCGCTGAATCTTCAAGGTCTGCATCCGGAGAAGAGAGCAGACACTGACTTCAGGCTCATGTTAGAAGTGAAGATAGTGATACCTTGGAGTTTTGGGGTTTTTTTAAAATTTTGTAGATTTTAGATGTAGTTACATAGTAAACGTAGATTTTAAAGTAGCAATACATTATCCCTTTACCCTTTAACACACCAACCACACACAGCAAACCCCGGTTACCCGTTCCCATATCAATTCCCCTAAATTCCACTGGCCCGTTTAGTCTCATTTTTCAAGGTAGAATTGTAGAGAACACCCTAAAATCTGTGCAAGAAGATATAGCCATAGACGCGACAACCTTCAGGCCTAGAGCTCTGGAAGGCCTCCTCTGAGGAAGATGAAGATGAAGATGAAGATGAAGATGAAGATGAAGATGAAGATGAAGATGAAGATGAAGATGAAGATGAAGAAGGGGGGGTGTCTCAAAACGCCCCCAGACTCAATTACCGAGAGACCTGTCGGGGGCAGAACCTGGGCGGTGGCTGGACGGGGATTGGGTGAAAATCGTTATAAAAACTGTAAACACAGCCTGAAAGCCTGGGGGCTCATTAAAGCCTTTGTGTCTTTATCTTATCTCCTACCTAATTTAGCTTGGAGTCTTTTTTTTCCCCTCCCCACAGCCATTTAGGCAACAATAGCTTATCCAAACTGTTTGATGGAAACTGATAGGTACTGTAGCCACTCGCTCTCTTTTTGTTGGTCACACACATTACTTCAGTAATGTATGAGCAGCGTTTGTGTTTAAATGGCCGTAAACTTTTGTAGTGTGTAAGTAAGTAAGTACCTGAACCTTTATTCAGAATGGATTTATACTATTAGTATGAATAATAAATGCATGTGGTTTTTTTCTATTTTTACTTAATCAGATCTGTTTATTCCAAATGTATGTTGGATGTTAATTTGTATTTTTCATATCAGCACTATCTAGGAAAGCTTTCCGAGGATTATTGCTTCTCTTGCCCCGAGATAACACTGTCTTCTATTGCCGAGTGCGTGGGCATTTCCCAGTGGAAGGTGACTGGATGGTAAAAATGGAGGCTTCTTATTATGATAATTAACAAACTGCTTACGCTCTAGTCTTTTCCTTTATAAAGTCAAGTCTGTAAAATATTAACAATCTAGTGGTTTTAACTTTTTTGGAGTTTTCTGTGTAAGAGTCAGGCTTTTAAGCCTTCAGACTTACAGAAACATTGCTTTTATTTCTCGTGGGAATAGCTTCGCATTATTTTTTTTTTAGCTTACAAAAGCAGCGTGTATATAGGTTTTCCATAAAGAATGTTTCACTAATCTCCACTGATGTAATTTCCTATCCCTCCTCTCCACAGCCTGTTTTCAAAACCAGTTCTTCCTGTCTTTGACTGTGAATCCTTTAGGCCTCTGTATGCATTTGCATAATGCCTACTTACCTTTTCATCTTTCAATAAATTATCTCTACTGTGTCTTTCCCCCTTGTTTCAGCACTAACCTGTGCACAGTCACTCCACCAAAGGTGTTCCATTCTTGCCATGCAAATGCAGGTCCTGGCAGAAGAAATTTCATCGACTGATTTCAGTGGAGGCACTGCTGCTTCCTGACTGACGAGGGCACAAATAAACAAGTCGAGGGAATCTGCAGAAGCAGCTAGATTCTAACAGATAGTTCACCTCTCTCTGCTTCCTCTAGTTCCTCATGCCTCTTCCTGCAAG